CACGCGATTGGAAGTTCATGCGCCGGCGATTCAGGAGATGACCGTCCGTTCTATAGGCGATGCGGATTCCAGGGCGTTCGTCGCGGTAGGCGTCCATCAGCATGGCAGAGAACATAAGACTGAAGAGGGTAGGCGCCAGCACGCAGCCCTGCATCACTCCGTTGGTCACTGCGAATGCCTCTGAGACAGCACCGTTGTGCGTGACTCGCGCCATCATACCGTCGTGCAGCTGACGCACCATCTGAGTGAATCGCTCCGGACAGCCGAATTTCTGCATGATCTTCCACAGTCCTTCACGATTCACCGTGTCGAAGGCTTTCGTCAGGTCCACGAAGGTAGAGTACAGGTGGGTCCGCATATCCTGACACTTCTCCTGAAGTTGACGGGCGGCGAAGATCATATCCGTGGTCCCACGATGACGACGGAAGCCGCATTGGCTTTCCGGCAGAAGGCCCTGTTCCAGATGGTTATTGAGGCGGTTGAGCAGGATGCGAGCGAAGATCTTCCCGGCGATGCTCAGTAGGGAGATGCCGCGGTGGTTGTCGCAGACTTGGCGATTCCCTTTGCGCTTGTATAGGTGCACGATAGTTGCGTCCTTGAAATCTTGAGGGACTTCACCTTGACGCCACATCTCCTGGAAGAGCGCAGTCAGGTGATCCATCAGTAGGGGACCTCCGTGCTTGTAGACCTCAGCAGGCATTGCGTCCGATCCGGGTGCTTTCCTGCTGGAGAGTTGCTGCACGGCCCTGATGGTTTCCTGGAGAGATGGCGGGAGGTCGAGGTCCACGTTGGTCGCCACTTGCGGCAAGCGGGCGATGGCGGCTTCGGAGATGACGGAAGGGCGGTTGAGGACGCCTCGGAAGTGCTCGGCCCATCGCTGCAGGATTTGCGTCTTCTCAGTCAAGAGAGTGCTGCCGTCGGCGCTGAGGAGAGGAGCAGTGCCCTTCGTCGGCGGACCGTAGACAGCTTTGATCGCGGAGAAGAAGTTCTTCTATTCGTTGCGGTCCGCGTAGCCTTGGATCTCCTCAGCTTTGCGAGCAGTCCAGGCGTCCTGCAGCTCGCGCAGTCGTTGCTGAAGCTGTCGGCGACTGCGGTAGAAGGCAGCTTTGTTGCCCTCAGTTGGGTGCTCTACGTAGGCTTTGTGTAGGCGGTTCTTCTCAGCAAGCAGATTTCTGATGGCAGCGTCGTTGTCGTCGAACCAGTCCTGGTGTTGGCGGGGAGCGCGATCGAGGACGGCGAGCACCGTCGACTGGACTGTGTCCCGCAGTTGACACCAGCGGTTCTCCACGGAGGCGTTCTCGGCAGCGGCGGCGGCGTCGTCGGCGGCGGCAGCGATAGGAAGGTTGTCTAGCCGTTGAGCTAGCTCATTGCTGAAATGGAGACGGTGAGCAGGCAAAGACAACAAAGCAACATTCAGCTTACCTGGGGGTCGCTTACCTTGTGGTCCCCTGCGAGGCTGTAGGCGAATACGCATGTTCGAGATGACGAGGCGATGGTCGGTCCACCCGTCAGCACCCGCGATCGCCTTCGTCACCAGCACGTCCCGCTGATCTCGCCTCCGGACGAGGACATAGTCCAGCAGGTGCCACTGACTCGACCGAGGATGCCTCCAGGTGGCCTTCTCTCGCACCGGCAGACAGAAGAAGGTATTCGTCAGGGTGAGGCGGTGTTCTGCGCAGGTGCGGAGGAGAAGCAGGCCGTTGTCGTTGGAGCCGCGGAGACCGTGGGGACCCAGCACTCCCCTCCAGGCAGTATGGTCTGTGCCGACGCGGGCGTTGAAGTCGCCAAGGACAATCAACTTGTCCGCCTTCGACACAGTCGCCAAGAGGGCGTGCAGGTCCTCGTAGAATTTGTCTCTGGCGGCGTCGGGGCTGCTCATCGGCGGAGCGTAGGCGCTGATGATGGTGGCGAATTTGTTTTCCCAGAGAGGCAGGCGAAGGCTCATCAGGCGATCGTTGATGCCCTGCGGCAAACAGGGCAGTCGTCCCACGATGTCGGTCCGGATGGCGAAGGCGACGCCCGCGTCTCGCCGCTCTGCCCTGGGTCGGCCTCTCCAGAAGAAGGTGTAACCGGCACCCACCTCCTCCAGTTGGCCTTGTTCGGAGAATCGGGTCTCGCTGAGTGCGGCGATGTCCACCTTGTAGCGCGCCAGTTCTCGTGCCACTAGCGCCGTCCTCCGTTCCGGTCGGTTGCTCCTCGGATTGTCTAAAAGGGAACGAACATTCCAGGCTGCCAGAGTGAGCGGGCTCACCCTGTCAGTCTGGGGAAAACGAGTGGGGCGATGGGAAGGAGGTGGAGAAGAAGATGACGAAGGAGAAGAATAGGCAGAAGAATAGACGGAGGTAGAGGTAGAAGAGGTAGGATGAGGAGAATGAGTATGGTTGTTGTTGTTGTTTCGAGTTTGATTGCTTCGACCGCGAGTTTTGCGTCTGCGACCACGGTGCGCCAGCAGACGACGTGGTTCCCCAGCAATTTTTAGGCCAGCTTTTCCAGGCCCCCCCCCGAAGGAAGCAGTGCCCTGACCCCTGAATAGGGGCTGCTTGATGTGCCGGCGCGGCCGAACTCCACTGTGGGCCACGAGTTTTTTTGGCAGTGGAAGAAGGACTCGAATTTGCCAATGGCTTACGGCATTGCCGCAAGTCTGCGGTCTCCTACGGTGCACCAGATGGGCGCGTGTCGACGGTGCCAATTCGGAGATCCATCCCACCGGCTGATCAACGGCGTAACAGGCGGAGCCTCGTCTAGACGATGCCGATGCGACGTTCCACCACCAACCGGCTGACCAGCGGTGTGTCAGACAGAGCCTCGTCACGACGGCGCCGACGCGGTGTTCCATCCGACCAGCCGTCCACGGAGTCCGCAGTCACCTGTGCACGCGGCACAACGCGCACAGGGAGTAACCGCCCTCACCTGGTTTAGCCCGCCGGTCGAGACGGTTGCCCGGGGTGTGGCCGCTGAGCAGAGCCCAGCTACGTGGAGCCACAGGTGAGAGTTGAGTGCCAGCAAGTGGACGCTAGGCGTAGTCTCACCTGCAAGCAAGTGAGCGACCACTACGACCTTCACGTGAACCCACCGCTGACACCCCTACACCCCACTCATTAATAATAAAAGCAGCATCACAAACACCACCAGCACCACCACTGAGACCGACTCTGCAGATCTTGACTTATCCTACCCACACAGTCATCGCACATCCACCTCAAGCATCCGCCTGGTCGGTCACCTGCGATCCCATCGCGTGGAGACTGGCGAACCAGTGTCTGGAGCACCAACACACCAGACGCACTTGCCTCAATTGGCCGCATTGTCCTCGTACATTAAGCCGCTACATAGGCCTTTCTGATCACATGCGTATTCACGAAAACCACGCGCAAGTCACCGCGTCTGCTCTCACATTTCCATGGAGTACACGATAGACAACGTCGGTCACGACGGTCGAACTGTCACTGCATAACCTCAAAAATCCTGATTAGCAACTATTAACCAAGCTCTATCTTTAGTTCAGAAGGAGGCACATCGTCAACACGCCGACAGACTGGCCGTATTTGAAAACAGTCCTTTCACCGTTCCCAGAAAACTCTTTCAGCCACTAGCCTGGCGATCGAGCTGACCATCTCATTCTGATCGACTAGCGCATATGCCATGTCGCTGGGAACAAATAGGTGTTCGATGTAGAGATTCGAATTATTCAATGAAATGTCTACTTTCAGGGATACTCACCTTTGTTAGCAACGCTTCCAGAGCGTTTACGTAGGATTTTGCACGTAGCATGAGGCTGTTCTATGTAACAGCAGAATAACACAAAATCGCATTTGTCAGTAACATCCCACTAAACGTCCACAGATCCTAAACTTATTTTTATATTACCAGACATATGTAAAGCCCAGGCAACGCGAAGAACACATTCCTGCCTGCGCAGTTTCTGATTACTCCGGAGGTTCTAGGATTCATGTGTTTTCGCTGGGATAATCTAGGCAGTTAGTTGGGGATCAATTACGCATGTCTTCGATCTTCTTGGTCGGGGAACAGCCTGAAATCCTTTGTAAAACCTTCAAAGCATCCTTCTAACTTAATTTAAAAAAAGAATTTCGGCTGCTTATACCGAGTTCTAAACCGATTCTGTTACGTGACCCGAGTGGGGGACTGCCAAATTGCGTGAATACAAGTAAAACGAGTGAAATATAGACCATGCATACTTGATACACATAACATCAATCGATACGAAATGCAAAAACTTGGTTTTTACAATGGAACTGTAATTGCGTTAAGGAATTCTGTCCCACCTCCTTTGCAGGCAGCTAAATAAAGAAATATTAATTAATTCGATTGAACAATTTTCGGAAACAATTTAATGTTGCCAGTTCACAGATTTACATGTAGATAATTCAGCTACTGATAGCCCCGATGTCTTGGGAACAAAAACATTTGAGCCTATTTTATAGGACTACGAAAATAGCAGAACTGTATGTTACTACCGACAAAGACAAGGGAGACTTGAATGGCCATTTCTGGCTTATTAGCAGTCGTCAGCCAGTCATACACAACTCCGAAGTGTGGAACACCCGAGGCTAAAAGTCGCGACCTGTACGTTAGAAGTCCACGCCTCTAACCACTAGGTCACGTGCAAGAACGATCTGTGAGCGTCCTCTACCATTGTATAGTCCCGATCAAAACCGACAGGGCAACGGGCTCGTGGCCTAGTGGTTAGAGGCTTGGTCTTCTGACTAACAGGTCGCGAGTTCGAGCCTCGGGTGTTCCGCACTTCGGGATTGCGTATGACTGGCTGACGACGGCTAATAAGCCAGAAATAGCCATCCCAGTCTCCCTTGTCTTTGTCGGTAATAACATACTGCCTATATCATGTGCCGTTGTGCGGCTGCTGGTTGGGTTCGAGAGCGAACCCGTAAGGCACAACGGAACGAGTGAGTTCGGCAAGGGCGATCGGTGAGCGCCCCCTACCATTGTAATATCAGAACTGTTTATAACGCACATATAACAACCCGGATATTGCATGTTGGGGATATTAACATTCATAGACATATGCTACTATTACTATGCGAGTAGGCGTTAAATTCAGGCTTGAGCATCTTCGAAAAAACAGCTAAATGTGCCACTAACAACGGGAATCCTGTGGGAATCGGCGTGCACGTCTGTGAACATTAAAAAGAACAAAAACATAACTTTGCAAGTGTGCGATAACTCAGAGCGCATGCATTCGCCATTTACTTCTTTAAGTGCATCACTCTCATCTCCCACTGTCATCGCACTCGATGAAGAAAATCTATGTAAGCCCTGACTGTCCTGCACGTAACAGGCGGCTCTTTTGGCTGCAGTTCCCCGATGCCGAAGTTTAAAGACGCAGGGACGCCAATGAAACCACTCAGCCGGTCTAGAGTTTCGGCCTACCCCATCAGTACTGTGCGCATATTTAATCGCCTACTTCGTTCGGTAGTTAGCGGGCTGCATGCATGCGATCCGTGCGTAACAAAAACAGCGACGCTCAGCAGTTCACCAGGTCTTTTTCCGTCAAGTAATAGCTCAAATCAATGTCAGAGTTACTTAGAGTTACTCCCATCCCTAGTACGATCCTTTACCCCACCACTAGCTGTAGCCATTCGTTAACGTAACTAAGCTTGGTAATGAGCTTTGCATCCTGCTTCCCGCATCATACTGTCACGCATGGGTCAAACATAGTTTAATGTATTTAGCCAACGCCACAAAATAAGCAGTATGAAGTTTCCGCCGTTTTAGGAGAGGACTGTACCAGCAATTTACCCAAGTCTAACAGTTTCTAGTGAGTATGTCAAATGTGATGGGCCAATCTTTGTTATGTTTATGACCATTTGCAAAAAGCGATAGTATACTTTGTGTAAAAATCTTCAGAATTTTACGAAGGACGTAGGACAGATTTATATTATTTTTGAAACTAACAATGCAATGATACAAAGGATTGAAAGGTCTGAGCGTATATATGCGTTATTTCATTTAGGGAAGTGATGGCAGATTGATGAAAAAATATAATAATACCAGTTAGAAGGGAGATGTGACGATTGTTGTCTATTCACTTTGTTTCTCATACTCAAATCATGCAGACAATTGGAAGCCAGTTGATAATAGCACTCCAAATTCATGTATCATGATGAAGGACGCCTATGTTTCGGTTAAGGGTAGAAGGTAAGTAAACAAGGTATTTATAGCCAAAACATCTGAAGTTATGCCATTTTTTCCATAGAGCACATTTTGATAATAAACCCATTCTAACTGGAAGTAGCTTACGAGCATTCTATGTTGCCGAGTAAATGTTAAATGCCTCAGTTTGGTCAGAATTACAGCTTTGAAACAACATACTTCAACTGCAGGATTTCACCTACAAGATGCAAACTGAATGGCAGCCACTGCTATGATTTGGAAGTATGATTTCACACGCGAGGGCATTTCAGAATCGTAAAAAAGCTTAATTACAATTAGGCCTGCCGTCTTGAGAAAATCTGATACATATTTAGTGTCTGTATACGTGAATGCTAATCCGAATACCGATAATAAGTGAGATTTTGAAGCAAACTGCTACAGTATAAGTATTTGGCGTAGGCGGAAAAAAGAGTTTTAACAGAACTTATTGGGATATTAACTACTGGGATGTATTGTGCCAGCCTCGTAAAAATGTTTGTTCAGATGACCAAAGCAAGTAAATTTTGAAACCTTTCTCCCAAATATTAAGATGCAGTGTTTCTTGGAAAAAGGCAAGTGGTGTAATCAAGTCTGTACGAGCAATTAGGGAATAAATATTACCATTTACGATACTTAAGAAGTTAATTTCAGCAAACGTACGCTTTCGATTATTCATCATCATGCCTTTACAGTGATATAGAGGAGGGTAGAGTAACAAATGTTAAACAGCCAATAAACAGTAAGTATGGGCGAGAGAGTTGAGGACGTTCAGGTGTCCGGGGGTCACAGCCTAGATCTGTCAGGTGCTTTGGGAGGGAGAGGGGGGGGGGAGAAGGTGTCTGGCATTTAGATGTGTCCCCGTTTCGTCTGTGTAACGCGACGTGGCAGGACTTGCGAACACACATGCTGGGTTTGTCCTTGACCGGAGAGCCTTAGCGCTTGCATAAACATACTGACTGTTTATTGGCTGTTTAGCTTTTGCTATTCTACCCTCCCCTATATCACCGTACAGGCATGAGGATGAATAATCGAAAGCGTACGTTTGTCGGACATGACTTCTTAGATGTTTACATGGGTATCACTACTGAAATTTTAAAAAATTACGATAGCCTTTCTCAACGGCATTGCATACAGCGTGCTACAACGGGCCAGGCGGGAGTCGTGCTGGACCAACAGGGGCTACGCACACCTAACAAATGTCCGATATTGAGGATGTGGTGGTGTGTCTGGGCGCAGGCTGACGCAACGCCATTCAAATGCGCCCAATCTTTGCATTACATGGCTGACCGGCTCTGAAGGTTGACTGTTTCCTGGCATTGGAAAGAGGGAGTGAGTTCGACTCTGGACATTGCATCCCCAAGGCACTCAGCGAATGTACCTTGCTATGAACAATCTGACGCAATTTCAAACTACTAGGGAGCGCTAAATGCTGTGACCTCGAAGGCTACCAACTGCCGATATAACTCGTTCACTCCTTCAGGACTGAAAGACAGCCTGCAATGACTCCCTCCTAGTGTTACTTCAAGAGAAGTCCCACTCGGTTGCAATGAGGGCCGCCATGTCACCCTTATTTTTTGTCTGAAAACTCGGTCAATTTTAAGCTGACCAGGCGTACGTGGCACTCGAAGACCGGCAGTTTAGCATTGCCATGGACTATGCATGATCCCGCTCCCCGTCTTCTCGACTCTGTCTTGACACCGGGCCCAGAAGTGTGAGAAAGGGGAGAGTCTGCTAAATGCTGTGCAAGTCTGCTATAGCTGTAAACTAGCTTACCCGTAAATCAGTATCCTTGCGCCCAACATAGGTCAAGGTCAACGCGCGCAGCACAATTTTGAAAAGATTAGCGAAAGTTATATTTTTGGATTCAATTCCTTAATCTCTTGCATATACAAAAGGTTTTCTTCGTATAAATATAGGATAGCATTATATTTTAAACGATAAACCGTTTCCACTGACCGTTTTTATCGTCGGTTTATTGAGAACTATACTGTTCTGTATTTTATCCTACATAGCCTCATTATCCAATTAAGATTTATTCATAGTTCTGTTTTACCACTTACGAAATTGTCATTTACCCGTTTTTTTTCAAGTTTGCATTCTGTTATTGAGTATAATTTGCTTAATATAAACTGTGCTGTCTGGTCCACCAATATTGACAGCTTTCAGAAATCGTTTCATCATACATAGCCTCATCCATATATCCTCGAAGTCTCGGCAGTGATCATCCATATAAATATTTGGACTTAAGTCTTGTATTGCTTTTTCGACATGAAACCTCAGGCAACCCTTCGTCGAAATCTGAAGGAAACTAAACTTCGTCTGAAACCCATTGTTCATATGAAAAAAACTGATCTAGGGGCGCTTGATGATTTTAACAATTTTATGTCTCGTTAGGGATCAAATTTTTCTGTTCTTGGCGCCTTTCTTGACGGAAAGTTGCCAACGCTTACGTCTCAGCAGTGTGAAAAGCTCATGACTCTCATTAATCTGGTTGTTACTGAGACCGAAGACAGGTAAAAATGAGGTTTCAAGTTTGTATTAGAAAACGTTCCTAAGAGTAGACAGCCAATAGATGTCGATTTTCATTTCCTTTCTTCATGCGGCTCCAACTTTAGGGTCGCTGAAGCTAAAAGTCTTTCATCTAGGAGCAAGAATCCATCAATTCTTGTCAAACTCTTTTCGTCGATAGAAGTGGATTTTATTTTCTCCCATTTGGAGCGCTCCACTCAATATCTCAGGGAAATAAACTTTTTATTAGTCGAGATCGAACTCCATTGCAACGAAGAGTTTCTCCCCATTAACAAACGTAAAGCCACTCCCGAATTCTACTCATATGCCTTTTACCTCTAAAGCAGTTTCTCCATCGGGTGTCGACCAAATCTCCCCCCTATTTACAGCGGCCCCAGTTCCAACTAGCTCTTCGGCTGATCACATTATCACAGAGACAGTTGAAACTCGCCTCTTAAAACTCCTCCATGAAGCAAGGATTGTTCAAATGCGGCTCCCAAATTTACTAGGGAGCTTGATCTTAACAGTAAAGATGAGCCAGTCCTTGAAGCACAACCGACTCCCAGCACTCAGAATAGTGATTTAGTTAATAAACTTACATCGAATCCACCCCGTTCCCACGCCTGGCCACTCAGGTCTGACCTCGTGGTTAGGTCCAATTAGCTATATGATAGTTCAGGGAGATCTTTACCTGTTCCTATCCTGAATTATCAACTTAACGCCCCAGTTGTGAAGCCCTCTTACACACCAGACTGCAAAATGCAAGTATATAGCATTGCTGATAACTTTTCCAATCCCATTGCTAGTCTGACACCCCAAATAATAAAGCCCTTTCCTGATGTTAAACGTTTCCCGAAACCATTATTTCCGCTACCTAACACAAACTACGCCTCTTATATTGCTAACAATTCCCAAAACCCTGTGTTCATGCCTCCTATTTTTCCAACCCAACAAAATAGCTTTCCTCTTCCTGGGTCCTCCTCAAATGTTTTTCCACATAATGCTGCATCTCTAGTTAGTAATTACCCCACAAATTTTGGACCGCAGCAACTTTGTCCTCCACCAATTGCCTCGTTCCAACAGCTTAATTTTCCACCTCCGGCTCTTCCTTTTTTAGAAGTAGCAATGAGCGGAACCTACATATTAGGAATACGCTCAGTATTGTCTCTCTCTCAACGCAAGATCTGTCGTACAAAAGATGGCACACCTAAGAAGTGTAGCTGTTGAGTTTGACACAGACGTATTGTGCATTACAGAATCGTGGGTTCACTCTCTAATTTCAGACTCGGCACTTAATATAGATAGCCTCAGTTTATAAAGCCAGAATCGTGCTGAGAGACACGGCGGTGGATGCCTTCTTTACATAAGAGCCTCATTTGCACAATCGCCTTATGACTTGAACATTTCCTCCTTCTCTAGAAATTTATGTTTTGCTTCGGTAATCCTTCCGCAAAATAGGAAAGCCTTAATCGAATGTGTATATAATCCTCCTTGTTCCTCCGGAAATGAAAGCCGACTCTGTGAACTCTTTGAAAAAATTGCGGAAAATTCTTTCGATGCCAAGATAATCGTAGGCGATTTTAATTTGCCAGAAATTGACTGGCACACACATACTTCTCCTCCTAAATTCCAGAAGCTGCTTGACACCATTTACTTTTCAAACTTATCTCAATTAGTTCACTCTTCGACCAAAAACGATAGTGTTTTAGACTTAATTTTTACTAATGGCACCTTCCCTTTATCTACGGATTTCTATCATGACCTTTTTGCAAGTGATCATGCATTAAGCCATTGTCGCCTTCCAGTTGTCATTTCCGCAAAGCCAACAGTACAACGTAGTATTTTTGACTTTGCTAATGTTAACAAGGAATTAGTAAATAACTTTACATGCACTCTTGATTGGCACAATATTTTTTTCAAATAATGATCTAAATTTTTCAACAATTTATTACAATGCGTAACAGAAGGTCTTCTTGACATTATACATCGGAAAATGTTCGACTCGAGTGCTAATTCCACCGCTCCCGGTCTTCTTGGCTCCGTCTTGACACCGGGCGCAGAAGTGTGAGAAAAGAGAGAGTCTGATAAATGCTGTGCAAGTCTGCTATAGCTGTAAACTAGCTTACCCTTAAATCAGTATCCCTGCGCCCAACATAGCTCGGGGAACATAGCTAACATCATCGTTTACGACGGTCGAACTGTCATATATTTGAATCTGGTATGTGAGATGAGGTGAGCCGATGTGTACAGGTATGCTGTGCGAATCTAGAACGGTTCGGTTTCAACTCAAATGACGCACTAACTATCAGACTGACACATGATAAGTGAAATGCGGTCAGCGTCCCATGAAAGAATGAGTCCTGTGACAAATGATTGCCTTGTGCAGCTTGCGTCCATAAAGGCAATAGTTGTACAATTTCCCGACATTGTTCTCCTGGACGCCATTTGTTTTGATGCTATGCACACAGACACAGGGGGATTTCTTTCAGGCCAGTAACTAGAGGCCTGCATGTGTCAATAGTTTTCTGTACGTTTGGAGCTCCGTTTAAGACCCCTTTCAGATAAGATTGTAAAATAGCACCGTCTTTGAATTGGCGCTGCCATTTATGCTACTTATTTTCCTTGATACAGCTCTCGCATTAGAGTACGCATTAGGTTTTAACCAGTGGTTATTCCTGTCTGTGTTAGTAATATGGACTTCTGCAAAACGACCGCAGGTAGCATTCACATACACTGTGCATTACGAAGAACACAATTGACATGGAGGCATTGCGTTTTTTTAAATCATCATTTAACGTCAGATACACTCTCAGGGAAGACAGCCAAGGATATCATTCGTGAGTTCCCATCGCCCTCCCACATCAGTCCCCCTCTGGGGTATCTTCTAGTAATTGTTGTTGCTCATTTCACGATTCTTGCAGGCACAGACTCCGTGTGGTTCACCCCTTTATGTCGCAAAGCTAACATTTTTGACATCCAAAAAACCCGATTTATTGTTAGAATTGGTCTCTTACCAAGATAGCTCAATGAAGTAGCTGCACTAGGACTTCATTCGATCAGGGTTCTGCAGCCCCAACAGCCCAGTCACTTAACTGAGACCGTAACGCCTTTCAGTCCTTTACAGAGGAACACTTCCACTACCTTTACTTCACAACCGTTATATTAGCCTAGGAGAAGGCGACTCAGTCGATGGATCCTTAATTGTATTTGTCGGAATTTTGGGATTCACGCTGGAGCCCGGCATGAGAGACGACAGAGCATAGAGTCATTGGAGGCAATAACAGGTACAGAACTTATAGGACGCATTTGCTGCGCGTTTCACACATGCATTCGACCAGAACATTATATCTTACCGCCTTAGAATTAGTTTTGCAGATATTTCTAGCATCTCAAATGCACCAAATGTTATAAAAGACCACATCGTCAAGCTTTAGGAAATAGGGATTCCTGATGATAAAGGAGCAGCTTTAGTCCTATTTGGGGGTCGTCAAAGCTCATTTCAGCACTTGTGTTTAACCAGCTAACAACATACGCTGGTACTAAGGGCACTCATACTGTTAGGAAAATCCACTTACTGGAGGTATTAGGCCAAAAACAAAATAACTATATTCTTTAATGCGCGAGGAGTCAAGCGCCAGAGGGTCCATTTGGTAAACGAAATAAGCGCTGTTGAATGAAACAAACTGCTAGTTGAGATGCCTAACGCAGGTGTTTACGAGACATGCAAAAGCGCTGATCAGTACAGACAGCAGGACACTGGCCATGGGAGTTGGCATCCACCAAAAAGTGCGTCTAATGCCGGAATGAATGATCCTAGATATCGAGCCTTTAGCGATTATAAACGTAAATAAAAGGCAAAGCACTGCACAGCGGCGGAAGTGAACACTCAAATGCTGTCTCAATCCAGGTTGTAAACTTTTCTGACAGATCTGCGATTTTATGAATCTCTACTGACATAACAAATCTGATACGGACGAAAGAAGATGGTTTGATACCAAGAGATGTTTATTTACTGCACATCAGATTACACGATTGGATAGCTTGCCATGCTGGCTATTCCACACATGTTGTTTTTGTTGCGGGCCATTTTGACGTACCCGTTCTCACCCCAGGAGCGTCCCCAGCTGTTCTTTACTAACCAGTATGGCTGACCACCTTCCGTTCCGTAGCCGATAACCAGAACTCCATGGTCAATTGTATATGGCGAGCAGGTTTTGCTAACAAAAACGCCGTGGCTAAAAAAAGAGTTGAATTAGTGTCATGAACTCAGTGTAAGATGAAGCCTACTGATTATTAAATCTTCTTATGCTTGTCTAGGCTAATCTAAAAATCGATGCGTCATGGAATGTTGTAAGGTCTTTCCTTGACAAATGGGCTATTCTTGCTGGGTTAAGAGGATAAGCATGGGTTGTAATTTCAGCGAACCAGAATCCTCTATTATTCGTTATGACAGCCTTTACACTTAATTTATGTCTGATCTTGCTTAACTGACACGAATTTGTTTCTTTTCACAAACTGGCTGATGAGTTGCTGCAACAAAGAAGGTGGGGGTAGAGAGAGAGAGAGTCTGGCGTTACGGTGTCCACTATGAACCACTTGCACAGCCATTGCTTCTATTCCATCCTCGGTTTCCTGCCGCAAAGACTAACCAAAACTCTAAACAACGACAAGGACCGAAAGAATCAGTGTTGTCATCACAAAGTCTGGGCGAAAGTGTGGGTCTGAGAGTTTTAAAATAACAATGTCCGTCGAAACACTGATCAATCTTGCCATAATCTGACCTGTAAGACATAAACCCAGGATCGGCAGCATCGATTCCGACAGATATTGGGCCTATGGTTGCAACAGCCCTCTGAAGACTTCCTTCATCGCCCTCTGGCAGTTCCGAATATCCAGTCACATTGGCCACAACCAGGTCCCGACGATATCTGCAAGCCCCATCCTATAGAGTGCAAATTAAACATGTTACTCATAAGGTACTCTGGATCATGAGCCAGAATGCATTGAAAGTACAGAAAATTTTAGGTGCATCTTTCACCAAAGGTTTTACCCTATACATTATGTCACCTTCAGACAACAGCGATGGATGTGGGAAATTTTAGGCGGGATCGGAAGTATATAACTAATCTGTTGTCTCTTAAAACACGGTTTTCCAGCACGTAAATGTAACTTACTTCTTACACGACGTTATGCTGGCTTTTGACTGATTGCCAGTTTTGCCCTCTGGGCAACTCGCATCTGGAAAAAAGTGGCTGAGTTGGTAATGCGTACTCATTACATACTACTATGCCGAGTACAGTGGATAAAACAAATTTATTGAATTTCATTACTTGGGCCTTATTTAGAGTGTTTTAATCAAAGCAAGGAATGGCTGTCGGCCCCTATCCCCGATATATTGCAGCTATCTGAATGTACAGCTCGTTTAAAGGCTTCTTTAAGTAGTCTGATTATTGTACTTATATTACTATTGCTGACAAAGTTCGCGACACCACCTACATCTGACGAAATAATTTATGGGCATTAGGAATAGCATCCATATAAACATGAGGATACATAAATGAGTCCCCTTCAGCAAAATTGGGACATACATCATTCACCAGCTGACCACATTTGTTGTGCTTGTGGACAGGATAGTCTGCTCAGTACCTTTAAATAGACTCATGTCAAAAATATGCACGAGCATGGAATTTAACCCGTCAGTGCATTTCAAGACCCACTCCGAGGAAGCTCAACTCGCAATGTAGCAAGCGGGGATGTTTTCTAAATAAAGGACTCCATTGTGTAATCCAAAAATGCGTTTGTCTAAATGGGAACTGATAAGGGCAATGCGTAAACTTCAGCAGTACCTCTGCAGAATCAACAACGCGACCGGACCTTTTGATTACCCAACACGGCTCTAAGTATATGTTTGCCTAAGACCAGTGAGAGCGAATTAGGTAATCATACGAATGTGCTCCGCGAAAAAAGCCTACGCCGACCGCCTCCTTCGCAATAAAATAAATAAACAGTTCAACAATCCGAGCCACATCACCACACCATACGGCATCCTCTTCGTCAGGCTCCCAGTTCAGCATGAATGAATCAGGTAAAGGAACATAGTCTAACAAAGGATCCGGTCTTGCACAGCTGCTTAACATTGACCACCACATATTCACAAAGGAAGTCTGTCAGGTGCTATACTGAGTCTCAAACAGGTAGCAGAGAGCAATAGACCAAGCAAGCTGATCCTGCACGCACAGAAGTATTCCTTACAGATCCCGCAGCTACCATGTCCAACAGTCCATTAGTTAGTCTGCATAATGTGACTTATATCAGGTTGCATGTACCCCAATTTCATACTGTCAGCTTAGACCCCTCCTCACTCCCCCCTTCAACTCCTCCTAAGCACCACCATTAGTCAACCAGACTTATCCCTCACCGCTTGTCCATTCACATTCACCCTCACTACGTTCACACACTGCGGAATTAGAACAAGCGTATGCCAGCCAAGTTGCCCTCCGAAACACAAAAATAAGTGCTTATCTGTAAGCACCATCTACAGAACAAATGCGATTTCTATGTCACGGTTCACATTGCCTGAGTGGAGCTCGATTGCAAATTGTTACTTGTCAGTCAACTTGGCTTAATGGACGCGTGGACCGGTGTTGATGAACGAAATAGGGAGTTGGGTAGAAGGATTTGACTGGTGAATTCCTGAAGATACTTGACGGTTCTATTCCATCTGTTTATTCATAGAATAGCCCGTAACCGCTCTAGGTCTTGTGCATCAGCTTCAAAATGAATGCTTGTTACCACGACACAATGGTGTTTTCCAATAGTTCTGGTTTTTCAACTTAATGTCTATGGAGTTTAGGCGTAGGGAAATGATCCCTTCGATGCAGTGTTAGATAGATATTGTTGAATGTGGTTGCGGTCAGTCACCGTGAATATTGCAATTTTTATTAATTGTTTGCTTAAGCAGCTTATAGTTTGTATCCAGAGCCTGGAACCGTATACTTGGTCGAGCACCCTATGAAGACAGACAGTGCACAAAACACAATGTTTTTGAGACAAAACCAAACCCAGTACCTTTTGAAGCAACCTTGACGGATTACACGGAAGTGTGAGTAAGTGGTTAGCAGCTCTTTCTACCAAGACAGCTTCATTGGTTTATAATATTACCGTATATTTCATCTGGCCTCAAGGATTGTGAGTGTCTGTTATGCCATGATGAACACACCGTGGCATTCGCAGCTTAATGCGCTCTGGCAGTTCTCTTGCACCTGATTCCTTGTCGGTGGATGCACTTGCGCTCCCACTGGGTATACAGGTCGTGAGCATGGCTGTCCAGTCATCCTCGTCCTTCTGACCCATTGTGGTGCTGTGTAGACCAGAGGTATGGAGTGGAGCCCCAAGGTGCGGACTCGGACGCATCATCCACATGGCGCGACCGAAACCGCATCTAGGCGTGCCGTCACATCTGGCTTGACCGGTAGTGCCATAAATGCCACTTTAAAAAGGAGCCATTACAGCTTGACTCTTAAACCACAAGCCGGCCGCTGCACTCAAACGCACAACACTTGGTCGACTGTGAATTCTAAGTTATCCCGTCAGTTGGCAATCTACCAAGCCACGGCTTTTAGCGCACCGTGAGAGCTTCAAGTGCGTCAGATTGCTTATAGTGACGAAAATACACTGAGTCATGGACCTCACGCTCCCATCCCATTCCCAGGCCCCAGTCACTGCCCAAACCGGTCACCTGACTGCAGCGGAGAATGGGCGCGACGGCTGACATAGTCTAGCGACCTTGTCTGCGCGTGCCATATGCACAACCTGGCACCTTCAAATAAAAGCACCAGGATTCACACAACGGGAGTTGGACGGCGTACATCTCACATGCGTGAGAGTGCCGTAGTTCACGTTAAGAAGGAGCCGTTACAGCCTGGCTCTCGACCCACCAGCCCGCCACTCCACACATACACACACGACAGTTCGACAATCGCGTCGCACGATGTTCACCGTATGCACCAAAGAAGGGTAGGGCAGGGATGTCTACTTGCGCGTGAATTAATTTATATCGATATTAGACTTGCACAGCATCTACCGTACTTCCTCCTCCTAACCCACCTGTACCTGGTGTCAAGACATAGTCAAGAAGGCCGGAGACGGGAGAGGGCACAAGTGGATGACACGGTCGAACTCGCACCTTGGCGTTCCACTCCACACCCCCTGGTCCACAGAGCAAATGACCAGATTTTTGATCAATAAGAACAATGGGGGCAGCAGGGGTCCCAACGTGCGCGACATCTGCCGGCGACCGGGTCTGTCATCGCACATGTTGGCATTTGTTACAGTGCGCAATCCGA